CAGGTAGAAAATCGCTCAAGGAACTGTAATGAACATTATAAAATTAGTTAAGCATCTAATTTTCGATTTTAACCATATTATAAAATCGAATGTGAGTAATTAAGTATCACAATGACAAGGTCAATAATCTCTAGTTTTTAAGAACGAGAAATTTATTTCGAAAATAGTTTTAACCTTACCCCTCTGCTAGTAATCGCTTTTTTGAACTGGCTGTGATCAATATTTTCGTCATCATCACAGACTGCTGTGAAGGAATTCTTAAACCATTCTAATTTCTTCTTTCGGCTATAAATTTACATAGAAATAAAATGGAATACGGGTTAAATTTAATGATTAATGGTATCAGTGGTAATGAGATTTTTCAGCGTAAGCAATAACAAAACCAAAGGAAGAAATGATTGATCTAACTAAATTAATTTTGTCTCATTAGCAAACTCAGTATGATAAAACTTGACGTTCGCTTTATAACGAACACCTTAAATCTAAATGTTATTATTACCGGTGTAAAAAGTAAAAATGGATCAGAGGCGACTATTACTAGTCTATTAGTACCGGCACCGAATTAAAAGGTTCAGACTCCTTGTCAATATTAAAATTTTCTCTACAATTATAGGTAAATATTCTGTTTAATTACAATATTAACAGGATGCTGTAGATCAGTATGTACAGTAAATAACCGAAATTTTATTAAAATATGAAGGAAAAATGGCGTTAGTAGTCAAAATAATTTTGTTCATGTCGAAATGACGGCAAATATGATAATTGAATTGATAGAGGATGTGAGTACCATTGAAATTTGTACACATTAACATAATAAGTGATTGTAGTGCTGTCGAGAGAACTGCGTGTATAGATAGATATACTTATAGGACGTGGCAGGATATTAGATTGCGACAAGAAATAATATTTAATAACATACAGTACTATTAACTAGTCACTGCTTAAATGCTAGCAAATAGTGGTATTGTATTAAATCCGAAAAGCATTTCCCGTATTGTCAAAAACCATTTGAGGAAACTTTTAACATAATATTAATGCATTTAATTTTCATTTAAAATTGACTGTTAGCTATAAAGTAAGCAAGTATTTCATTCATGAAATTTCTAGATATCATAAGATTTTTCACTAGTATTGGAGTCAAGGCCTCAAAAATACCAGATTGAATGTACACTATTATCAGCGATATGCTATCAAAGATTAATTATTTTTAATGCTGCTTAATATTATGCTGTACTAAGATTACGCATAGCAAATATTGCTATAATTCTTTAAAAGTAGTT